CAAAGGTGAATTCGGTTTTTCAGATTTGTTTCACTAGCAAGTTGTCTTAAGCAATTCACACAGTTGAAAATTTGCTCTTAATAAAAAAATCCAGGATAATGTGGGGAAAAAAATCAGATGTGTGAGATTTGCATGTCCATATGAGAAATGACTTAAAGACAGCTCATAACAACAAAACTCAAAGATTCATCCAAATTCTTCATTCTGGTATTGAGATGAGTCAAAAGCCTTGGGTGAAAAAATATGCATTTTCACTTAGCATAGCCTTCGACACTGACTGTCTCCTAAATGTTATATGCTCCACTGAATTTCTCAAACACTGAATCATAGCATGGAAAAAAAGGGGAAAAGGTCAGCATCATCACTAAGCCACGTGCCATCACAGCCATCACTGCTCTCTCCAAATATAAAGAGTCTAGGGGCCACGCCTCCCCTCACCTGTCATGGATGGAGTTGATGTAGAGATTGACAAACCACATCAGTGAGTACTGGTACATGGGGTCGATGTTGGGCAGGTCGGCGATGCTGAAGAACAAGACACTGGAGTGCTTGGCGATGGGCCGGTAGCCGGCCCGTGACTCATTCAACTTCATCTCCGTCTCCTCGGCGATCTTCTGCTTCTTGGAGATCTCATCCGAGAGAACCTTGAAGGAAGAGGGAGGAGAATGCGTTATTTTGAAGTCACCTCGCAGAGAAAATTAAAGCCACCGTTACAGATCAGCAGCTGCTGTGCTATCAGAGTTGGATGATTTCAACAACCACTTCTTTGGTGTTTTGGTGAGGAAACGTCATGAATACAGCCAAAGTTTTTAGAGTGTAGTGACCACACGGCAGTGTTTCATGTATTTTCGTTTTTCCGTATTCCAGAAAATCAGTTGAGGAAAAACATAGCACAGTGGAGTCTTGATAGACTGAACTTCTATGTACTAAGTAAGTCTGGCTGGAAAGAGGGCGCTATTGATTGGATCCAAGAGATTCTGTGTGTTCTTGTAAGTGATCTGAACCAACTTCTTGATGATCTTGGGCGTACCTTGGAGGAGTCTAGGATGCGGATGGCTGTCTCATCTTCCAAGATGTTCCCCTCAGAGGAGGAGAGGGTCTCCAGGATCTTGTCTTCAATCTCCTTGAGCTGTCTCTTGTTAGCTGCACTCTGGAGGACCATGGCCTGCCGTTCTTCTTCAAGCTCCGGTCTGCAATGAGAGGGAGTGGTAATTGACGCGGCACAATCTTACTGATGCTTTACTCCCCAAGATGAATGAGACAGCATGATTAAAACAGTGATTTCCATTTGTATTGCGTGGCAAGCACAAAACAAGCAGTTCACAAGTCTGGAAGCTTTCAGAGCCATAGTTCATGATCCACAAAACATTGCTCAATGAGGTTATTAGCAAAACAACCTGACATTCATTTGCACACCCCGCACATCCGATGGAAATTTAGCAGACATGTCTTTCTGCAAAGCAAACCTTGTCTATTTCCAGCGAATGGAACTGCCATGTAAACTTACAAATGAAACATACAACCCTTCAATGATTCCACAACTTAAGGCTCAAGGAAAACCTGTTTTCTTGTTTGTTCTTTGTGTTTTTTCACTTGACGCACCTTTCTTTGGCCACCACGATACCCAGGAGCTGGTCCTCCAGACCATCCGGCGTGATCATGAAGTTCAGCAGGGAGACCTTGGTGGCTACCTCAGGCAGGTAGTGGGGATTGCGCAGCTTGGTGGTGATGTAGAAGCGGAAATCCTGTGAGTATTCAATCACGTTCTCACCCAGACGGATGCACTCCACGCCACCTGCTCAGGTCAAGTTGAAAGGAGGGGGGGGCAGTGAACTTTAGGTTGTTGAAAAATGCAGCGCAGCAGTCGCTGACTTGCTTTGGGTAAACGACTGAGTATTGACCAATCACAGCGCGTGAAATCTGTCCACCCTTTCCAAACACGCACTGGGTCGACAGATATCGCACACTGCGATTGGTCAATCCCTGCAAACTCTTGGAGGCAGGCTACTGAGAAACACCTGTATTGAATAGATTCCTCACTCAAAGCAGGCGATACTTTCAAAAGAGACGTTAGCAAAGTGGTGCACCTTTGAGAAACAGCCAACAGCTTGCACAGTGTACAACCATTGACAGCCAAATGGCATGAATCTACACCATCTCTGTTTGAGAGCAGTATACCTAGATATCCTACTAAGCTTTGGATTACTGGTAATATCTAAATTTTCAATGCTATGGGTACAGTAACAGTCAAATCTCACACCAGTACATAACTCTCTTTGAATTTTGATAGGCTGCATAAATACAACATGTCAATGGTTTCTTGTTTTTTCCGATATGGCAAGGTGAAAAAAAAGAATGAATCCAACTCACCTTGTTTGAAGGTCTGCTTGAGCAGCAGGGGTTCCAGTGACGGGTCCAGCTCCTCTCCAACGTTCTCCAGCAGCAACGGCGTGCCAAATTGCAGGCAATTCTCCAGGATGCGCATGTAGTCGTTGTCCGTCAGCTTGATGACCGACAGGTTGTTGTCCTTCTCAGAGTTCTTGACCCACTTGTTGGCCTGGCCCTGGGGGTCGATCATCAGCGGCCTGAAGGGGGATCGAAGCACATTGATGTATGGATTGACTACGTGGAGTGAGGACAGAGAACTGTTTGTAAACAGCAGCAGTGGAGCATCTTGCAGAAGTTGGGAGGGAAGATTTTATGATCTAACAATTCGGAAAAGGGAAGTGAGATCGAATTTTTAAAAAGGGTAAGGAAACGTTTTAAAATAAAGACAGACAAAGACGACTCTGTGACCCCTTCTGTCACCTGTGTTTTGTAATTGATTGTTATAACTCTTGCATCTGCCAACATCACAACATAACTTTTGAATGTCAACCAATGCTCCCCAACACGAGAAAAGAAAGATTTCCAAGAGGAGTAGATCTACGGGCCTCCCTGTCAAACAACAGATATGTTCCTGAATAAAGTTGTTGGTTAACACAAACGAGCACAGGGTTTCCTACCATCTCCTGGAGTTGTCAACGATGACACCGTTGTCCACGGAGAAGGCATCTGTGGGCAACCCAGCGATGTTCCAAGCTCGGATCTTGATGGGCTCACCGAGGGTCTTGCTCAGGGAGAACTCATCCGAAGAAGGGATCTTCTTCATCTAAAGACACGAGATAGCAACATAAGGTCATTCAACTCTCATTTGTCATTGCAATTTAACAGTTTATGAATAATAACTTTAAAATATGATAACGTTCACATTTTCATATGAAAGAATTAAAGCCACAAAATTGGCCAATTTTTTTATGTTGCAGGTGTCAAAATATCCATAGCTGTTTGTGGTCTTGCTTCTTTTTTTTTTCAATTCCACCTTAAAAGACTGGAAACCTACCGTGCACAATTTGGTCCAGTCACTTGTACACCTTTGCCTGAACGCTGAGGTGAAGGCGCCCAGATAAGCAATGACACCTGACGAGATCAAGACATCCCCCATCAAGTTGTCGTAGATATTCTGCAGGTTGGCTGCAGCCGTGGTCCACCTGTCAGAGAGAAAAATGATAATTTGAGGATCACTTTGGAAAGGTGGGGACTCCCTGAACGTGACAAAAAATAAAGCATGTCATATAATTTAAACAAGATTTCTTTGGCTCTACAAAGCGCTGTTGAAGCCTTCACCGTCACCCAATTTACTTCCTTTTGACCAGTTTTCAGAGGCAGGGGCTTTCTTCAACCTTTATATGCATGGATCCAAACAATCTGGGACACTTGATTTTTTGTAGTAAACCGTGTCACTTCAATATTTGATTGAACAGTTGAACAGACCTTTCTAAGGTATATTGGGAGTCTTCAGTGATGTTATTGTGTATAAAATGACTCAATAATCCAAGGCACATTACCCAGGGACACCCTCTTTCCCGAAACTAACCCATTCTTTTTTCAATGTCTCTCAAACGTTTGGACAAATGTAACACTACTTCAAAACTAAACAAGGGAAAACAAGTATGTTTGGAATCCCGGCATTGTAAATAATTGTAAGCTAGACTATCAATCTAGAATCCCCCAGCCCCGACCTGTCTTTTTCTCCACCCAGACCACCGATTAGCTTCTCGGCTCGGTCCAGCTTCTTGGCACACAGGTCTACTTGCTGTTCCAACTGTTCCTTCTTGTCCGTCATGTCTTTGAATTGCTGCTTCAGGTTGGCCAAGCGCTCCTCTACAGCACGCAACTCCGATCTCTTGGCTGGAAGGAAACAAGAGGAAAGAATGTTGAAACACTACTGGGAGGGTTCCCTGTAAAAGTAAGCCCCTCTATGGAAACAGTATTGAATGAGTTTCTGTACTCATTACTCATCAGAACGAGTCCATCCCTAAACTAGCACTGCTCCAGTTTTAAAGTAAGAACCAAAAAGCTTACCATTGAGCAGAGTCATAGTCTCACTGAGGTCAGCCTCAGCCTCTCGGAGTTTCTCCTTCTTTGGGGCTACCACCTTGGCTACCCTGTCATAGACTTCCATGGCTAGCACCCATTTACACAGACCTTCAGCTGCTGAGGAGGCTTTGGCTACCTTGACTGGGTCGAACTCAGGGTTGGGGATGTACTCAGTGCGGATTTTTTTCATGATGTGGGCCTGGTTGGAAGAAATTGTAACCCAAACAATGTGAGTACATCATTAAACGTCAATCAATTTCAACAGAAAGTGTATTGCATAATGTCTAAGATGCAGTGAAATAAAACTTGTCTACCGGCATTTCTTAAAATGAGATAACAAAAACAATGGCAGTGACAAGCGTGTACTCATGCCTATGAAAGAGGACTAAAGACATGTCCTCAGATGAACAGTCACCAGTTCTTGAGATCAATGTTTAAAAATCACAGGCTTATTTTGTCAAACTGAAAAGTTGCTTAAATATGCTTGTTACTGAGGCAAACTTAAACATGGACATGTTGCAACATGCTCATTTTTCATAGAGAATGGTCTTCGATGAACAATTCGCTTGACAGCCTATTTACAAGATGCACCCTATTGTCGAAACCCATGAGGTTAAGCTATTGCGACAACCTGACATCTTCTGGAGCAACGGCAGTGGCTTATGGGCATTTGTGAAGCAAAGTTCAAAGGTCGTTCAGTATCACTTACAGGAATGTTGTCCCTGTCGTACGTCTTGAGCAAGTTCAGGAAGTTCATGTCACCGACTAGCTTCTTGGAGGGGCCCCAGTAGTCCAAGATCTTGCCTCCTGTGCCGGCAGGGTCATTGATCTTCTCCGGTTTGATGTCACGCATGACGCAGACGGCAGCCATGACCAGCTTGACGCCAGACGGCGGGTTCTTCATAGTCTTGACTACAGCAATATCTGCAGGCTGCAGATGTACAGGTGATTGATACACAAAAGCATTAAGGAGGACGTCAAACTGATAAAACATATCTAACGTTGAGAGAAGAGCTTTTGAGCTTCCACAAGCAAGAACAGGAAATTTATGAATGGTTGATATAAAACAAAGACGCAAAAACGTTTCAAGAAACTAGAGTAAGCATATCTAATAATTTCAATAATAAGATTAATGAGCACAAGGCTTTGAGAAACACAACAAGGAAAGGTGTCAGGGTGATTACTCTATCACTTTTGGAAAGGCAAATTTTACAAAACTGCTATGCGCATCAATTTGTCTGCTGTGCACAAAAATCTGGATGGGCTGAAGCAGGTGAAAATTTTACACAATAGTCACAACTTCAGACTGGGACCAGTGACCAATGGTGCTGGACATGCACTGTACCTTAAGTGTGTTGAGAGCAGCGAGAGCTGCTTCCAGGGCAGGGATAGCTTCGGCCAGATCACTCTCACATTCATCCTTCAAGGCTTGCGCTGCGGCCGCCTGGATGTTGGCTGCTTCTTCCTCCTTACGAACCACCTCGCTAGTAGCTGCTACTTCTACCGATTCCTTCTCGATAACCTACAGGCAAGATGTCAGCAAAGGCAAAACTTAATTTCTTGGTCGCGCCTAATATTTCCTGTATTCCTTGCATTATTGCAACCCCAGTTCTTCCTTATTTGGATACAGGTAATCACAGTCAAGTGTCTTACCTATGAACACAAGTACCGTAATTTCTGTCGGTATTTAAACCCTCGCATCGCTGCATTAAAGCGCAATCACTGCATCACGGCACTCTTAACCAAATCACTGCTAGATATTTTGGTTTTTTTTTCTTAGATCCGAAAGTTTAATCATTTATGAAAGGAGGGTTACCTCAAGGTTTAATAAGGTTTAACAGGATTTTAAGAGGTACCTTAAGGTCAAAGTTACCTCATGCTTACTTTGGCATTCTTCCCCAAACAAATGACAGCTTCTTACTGGAAACCAAGCTCCACAGAAAATAACATATACTGGACTGCAGGTTCTGCGTCAAGCAAAACTGCAGAGCAACTCGAGAGTAGATCTTCTACTTACCACCATCATCTTCTGGTTCTCGTCGGCAGCTACCACCAGCTGGGGCTGTAGCTCCTTCAGCTCTACCTGCATGGTTCCCACCTGGGACTCGGCAAACGCCAGCTTCTCTAACCCTACCACGTAGCGCCGCTTGGCCTTCATGGTCTCATCTCGCTTCTTGCCCAGCAGCGTCTTGAAGGCTGAGATGAGCTCCAGGTAGGAGGTCGGGGTCACGTAATTATGACGGCCAAGCTCCTCCATGAAACTGGAATAGATTGAATAGGTCGTAAGCAAATTTAAGTCTACAAAGGAAGCTTAAGGACAACGTTGTAATCTCATGTTTTAGGGAGGGTGAAATTTCACACCTCGGGATAAAAGCCCTGACACTTATATTAAAAAAGACTGATTAACAAATTTGGTTTTGTACAAATTATTCGTGGGTGGTTAAAGTCACGTCATGATTTGTTCTCAAGCGTATGTATATCATGAAAGATGAGCAGAGCCAGTGAGTTTTTTTTTTCTGTTTATGTCCAACTATCAGCTGATTCCAAAGACAGACTTCCTATATTACCTGACTGAGAGGTTTCTGGCACTGGTGTGGAAGTGTTTACAGATGTCAACCACCTCCTTCCGTTCCTCTTCCTCCATCTCAACTGTCTCTAAGAACTTGTTGGCCACCCTTGTCAAGGCATCCTCTGGCCACGCCTACAAAATGGGCAACACAGAGTCTAACAGTTATGACCAGCTACCCCTAAACCCTCTTGAAGCAGACCACTGTCATGTTTAAAAACTCCTAAATTAACCTGAAGTAAAGAAACTGTCTGGAAGGGCTTTGATAGTAACAAAGGTCAATGAAATGTATACATTTTGTATTGTTCATATGTATAATGGTAATGTTTTCCAGACAATAGCTCAGAATTTTTCAATCTGGTTTTGGAAAGGTGGGTCACAATTGAAAACTTGATTCAAACGCTGATCACTTCTTAAAGCTGAGGTTGTCTTGAATGTCCTTGGCTACAAAGATCAGAAGTACAAAGTAACACGTCAGGGACAGAACATATTCCGAATGCCAAAAAGGGTTTATCAAGGGGAGAACCACTGACCTGGAACCAGTCAATGGTGCAACAGTTGATGAGTGACGGGAACTGACGGAGACGATTACGGAAGGCGTCACCGATGGGAGAGAAGGCGATGATGATGTGAAGGTTCTCCCGACATCGGTTAACAAAGAATGCAAACAAGGCCAGGGGACTGAAGTCAGCATTCTTGTCACCGGCCTGGGCAATGGGCCGAACAGCCTGTAACAGGAGACGGGGAGAAACCATGACAGGGGTTGGTCTGCTGTCGAAGCTCACATAGCTCAGCTAGGTAAAGAAAGTGCTAATTGGCATTAGAAAGAAATTGGGAAGTAAAGTAAATGATATCTCGTCCTCACCTCCATGATCTCTTGTTTCTCGTCCACGGCGTAAAGGTTAGGCACCTCTCCAGTGTTCAGGAGATTGTCAATGTCTTCAAGGAAGGATTCCTCTTTGATTTGGGTGTCCGTGATCAGGAAGACGGTGGTCTTGCCAAAGGCACCGGCATTCTTCAGTAAGGTCTACAAAGTAACCAGTAGATCCATGTGAGAAAGCTGGTAAGCACCAAAACTGGTAAAGCACAACCTTAGCTAGGCTTTGCTAGATCCAACTCAGCAAATAAGAATCTGACCAATAGAAACCAATTTGAGGCCAAAATAATGAAGAAACTATATAAACCTTCGACAAGTTTGACTTTGAGAAATGCAAATGATTGCTCTGACCTTCAGGTCCTCTCTCCACTCATTCTTGCCGTAACTCTTGGAGATCTCTGGCTGGAAGAGGTGGAACCCGGCCATGCTGGTGGCCAGTCTAGTCAGGGACTGCCGACCGCTACCACCCACCCCGACCAACATGGCATTCCCGCCGGGCTGTTTCAGGACACGACTGATGCGAGACAGATGCTCCAGCACATATCTACATGACAGCAACACAGGAACAAACAAATGTTTGTCTATTCTCAAACATTAGCGACAAGCATCAAGAAATGTCAGTGCCCTTCACTTGACCTTGTTAAGCAGAGGTCAATAGAGGTCATGTACAAGCTGTATACTTTTCTTTTCTGCACAATTCTAGACAGTTAACTCCTTAAAGTACCCTGATTTCTGTGACATTACAAATATGAACAGCAAATTAACCTGGAGTGGAGTTTTATCATTGGACTTCCTTCATAGACAAAAAGTTACAAAGTAAAGAACGGTGAGAGCTGGCACTCAAACTTGTGAGCTTCTGCTTTACTTCGGCAGACCTCGCTGGTGTAAAATGGCTTATTCAAATCCTTAGCAGGAAATGCTGCAAATCAAGATGCCAGCAAGTCACCATGCACTGTTTAGAAAGCTCTCTTCAAGTTCCATTCACTGGCACAAAATTTTTAAGGCTCAATCTCTGGAGACAGGTCTCATCCCGCGAGACTGCCTCACCTGAAGATGACGAGATTCATTCCTGTCTTGTGGGTATTGTTGTACTCCTCTAGACCCCCTTCCACCACCTGGTTGAACTCCTCCACTGACTTGACCTCCTCGTAGATCTTGTCCTCAGGCTCGGCGTCCACGTTCATGTAGTCGCCAAACATCAGGCTGCGCATGTCATCCTCGCAGACCGCCCGGCCGTCCTTGGCCAAGTGCTCAAAGACGGCGTCGAAGCTGTCCTTGAAAACATCCTTGACCAGAGTTTTGGCAATGCTGGGATGTGTAACACCCAATGAACACAGTAGTTATAGATAACAAAACTCATCATTTACACAGCACTTACACAACACAACTGGAGAAATTGGGCAGATATCATTTAGATTAATAATCATTTTAGTTCAGAAATGAAACGCTCAGTTTTTTCAAAGCATATATTCCGTATTTTCACCAACTTTCCAGCGAACATTAAGTCAGTTTATGATATGAATCTCTCAGTGAAAAGTGAGTGGGAAGAGATGGAGACAAGAAAATGTAATTCATTAAACTACAATGTATGATGCAAAGCCACTATACCAGAACTTTGCAAGTTCAAAAATAAGTAACGTTAGAAAATTTGTACTGAGAAGTAAACAATGGATGGAGAGCATACACAGCAACATGTTTATTTCTCAGCAACTTCTTAAGAAGCATCTTTTTTAAGTTCTCAGGTTCCTCAGAAGATAAAGCATACCTCTTTGAAATGGACAGCTTAAAACTACATCCTAACTGTTCAACAGTAAAATATGTTGACAGTGCCGCAACAAATCATGTATATATTGTTTTCTTTTAAGAGGAGTGACTCACTTGAAGAGCCAAAGCCTATCCTTGTCTTCTACCAGCCGATCGTAGAAGACCCTGAAGACCTCGTGGACCCAGAGCCGGGTGAAGGAGCGCTTGTTCTCCACGGCCTGCTTCTTGATCAGCAGCACGCCCATGATGACGCGGGAGAAGTCCCGCAGGTTGAAGGTGTAGTGGGACTTGGCCGGCGTGGGCAGAAGGTTGGCCATGGCCTGCTTGTATACCTCCATGGTGCCCGCCACCACCTGGTTGCCGGCCGTGAAGTAGTCGGGTGCAAACTCGTTGGCCTGAGTCATAACCAGCGACAACAACCGATAACTGAACAGTTGCCGTTTCATATACCCAAGGCTGTGTCCAGTAATTCAGGCTACAACTAGCAATAACATGCACACTAATGCAAACCATTTGCTTGCATTGGATGCCACTCCTAACAAATGTGAGTGTTAACGGTATTAGCCTCAGCTAAGGAAATCAGACGCAGTCTAGTATCTAGGATTCACAGAGTACGCAGTGCACATATTGAATTGAAGTCCACATAAATCTATTGAGGAAGCAGAAGGCAGAGGTCACATTGATGATGTTTCCATCCTGACAGAGGTATGACATTAACAGGCAGCAATACACCTATTTGCATTATGCATTAAGACCTTGAATATTCTGAATCAAAGCACAAGGCCACCCAGAAGCCTTCCAGTCATGATAGAAGCACTGTGCTAATTAATGCAAAACAACTGACCCAGAATCTCTGACTGACGGATTCTCTTAAAAACCAGCAAAAATTCTCCAGTCGTTACCAGGGAGAAGACTTTCAAAGTAGTCCACTAAGTAAAAGCTGTTTGGGAAAATTAGGTTTTTTAAGAGCAATTAGAACTGACTTGGAGAATCTCACGAAAGCCCTAGGATGCCACAGAAGTAAACCAAGAGAAATGACTTGCAGACTGAGAAGTTGAAGAATCCAATTGCTGTAACTCACCCTGAGGTAATAGCTGACGATGGTGCTGAAGATGCGCTGCATGGTCTCGTCATTGAACGGAGTGATGCCGATGATGTTGAAATGTCGCAGGAACCTGGAAGTGACAGGATTACGGCCTCCGCCAGGGGGACCCATGGCTGTAAGGAACTGGACATCAGTCAGGACAATCTTGGTGGTGTCTTTCTTGTCGTACCTGAAAGTTGGGAAGACAGACAGAGCTCTAATTAAAAGGCTCAGAAACAGTAATCTCCATTTCAGATAAAATAGGAAAATGTTGAAAATGCTCCGACCACAAACAGGCCGACAATATTACTTTATCTACCATTCCTATTTTTAACAATTTTTTTCTTTTCAAATGTTTACATTTGCCTTAACACTTTTTTTTAAAACCTTAAAAGTAGCCATTCTAGCAGCATAAACTTTACCAGACACTTCTGCCACAGCGACAAAACAACTTGAACTACATGTAGCTAAAGAAATGAATTCAATAAAGCGATAACAGTTTACTGGTTTAGGCAGTTCAATGTCCCTTATCATGGCAACATGTCTCTATAGGTAACAACCCTTCATCTTGACGATGAAACCAATAGTGGACCTCGTTTCCATGCAGCACTATCCTAAGACAGGGATGACTTGATATCGTTGGATCCTTTTTTTGATTTTTCTGCATGATGTATGGATTAAAGCGACTAACCAATTTCCATGATCAAAGAACTGTCTAAGGAGCTCGATGGGTGGCTGGGCACCGTATACCTCCCTCGCCGGCATGTTGAGGTCATCCACAAAGATGACGGAGCGCTTGCCCATGGGAGGGCCGAAGACTCCTTTACGCCGCTTGTCCAGCTTGGACATGATGATATCCTGCCGCAGAGAGATCGAAAGTGGAAACTGTTCATGGACAGAACTAATCCTAGAGTCTTTGTCAAGGAGTTCCTGTTTGACATTAAAACCCCACAGGATCGCTAACGGAACGTCAGTGCACAAATTATAGACGAGCCTCAAACATTTCTATCTAGCAGGGCATACACCGGCAGAGTTCACATCTGGTGATTTCATACCTGAGTCTGGCCAGCGCTGGTCTGGGCCGAGAAGTTGATAAAGAGGGGTAGGAACTCCTCCTTGGAGAGGTTGTTCATCAGTTTGTCCTTGACGTACACACTCTTGCCTGTACCGGTGGGCCCCACGAACAGAATGGCCCTTCAATGAAACAACACAGAGGAAATATATACTCTCTAAATTTGCCCAACCTTTGTAGGTACAAAGAAATAATTACACACTGTAGCAAATTTACAAGTTCCTTTTAAAAGAATGTCCAAAATCAATTCTCCACTACAAATTTTACTTTAAAGAGAAAAAAATTACTTTAGGCACAAATTCAGTTGCACTGGTTGTGTACAATTGATATAACTGAGATTCATTTAATAAATACTGTTGGAGAGTATCCTAACATCATTGTCTTTAATAGTTAGTGGACACAGGAGCTTGAAGTTGGTGGAAATCTACTGCTGATAATGAGGGTTTTCATTTCCGCGGCTAAATACTTTTCACAACTGGAAAAAGGGCTATGCCCACAGATGCTTGGAAAATGGACTCTCGGGCACAACCAATTTGACAAGGAATGTAGACATGCATTTAATTTGCCTATTTTTGTTCTACCCACCTCTTGTGCCTAATGGCTATGTCCATGAGGTATGTGTAACGAGCTGTGTCCATGGTAGGTACGATAATCTCCTGCACCTTGCGACCTTCACCGATGCTAGCTCCTTTGATGGTGTCATTCCAATGAACCCACTTGCCTCGAGCTTTGAACTACAAGGAATCAATGGGGAACAAATAAACAGGAGGTAATTTCACTCAATATTTATTCCTCTAAAGAAGCGAAGTATCGGGAGTGAGTAGACAATTTACAAGGAGGCATGATCAGACAAAGTGACAAACAGTAGAAACGTTGGACTACAAACAACAAGGCAAAATACAAGAATTGGAATCAGTCAATCGCAAGTTCAAATCACAAGTCCAATGGCAGGTCAGGTCAAAGATGTCAAATTAATTACTGAAAAGTCTTTGTAACAATCCATTTAAATTGCTTGTGACTTGAACCAAGACTAGTTGACTTGCAATTGAACAGTGATTTTACTTACAATGGTTTGAGATGACTTACGATGACCTGATGATAAATCTGCAAAATCCAAACTAATAATTCTGTCTGCCTCCCGTTTTATGCAGATTATTTTAAAGTTTGATACATTTCTTTTCTAGGAACCAACCTTAAACATTTTCACAGTATTTTCACGACAAGACATTTTACTTTTCACTCACATCATACATGTAGTCATACACTAGCCCCTCGGTGGGGAAAGGCACATCTAGCTTAGTGCCCACTTCCCCTGGGTAGGGGTGCTGCTCATTCTTCCCTGACAAGATGTCTCGTAAGAACTCGTCAAATTTGGCCCTGCCGTCCGTGTCTCCCACGGCACCCACCGACCACACCAAGGAGAAAAAGACAGTGGACTGAAAACAAGGGCAAAGATAATAAAACGAATATCGGAATCAAGAAACTTGTGCATTTCAACACGAGTTCTAGAGTTATCAGTTCCAGAGAAGGCTTTCTGGAAACTCACACCAATTTGGAAAAACTGCACACTCAAACCTGATGCCTTTATATTCAACTTTTCTTCCTTTGATTTTCTCAGTCCAAGTATTCAAATTAATATATATCTATTGAAACTTACAAAAAAGTTTCTAGGTTTAAAGATCTTGTTTCTTACGATCAATTTTCCAATATCTGTTGTCAGGTTTCTTCTGTTTTGTTCAGTCAAAAGTCAAGTGTCAAGTCACATGAGAACTTGCTACACGAGACAAACTTACAATAATCCAAGGTCTGAGATGCTTCAGGTCGGTCTCTGGTTTGATGTTGTCTGCCAAGAACATGTTGACGAAGTACATCAAAGACCTGGCAAAATTGTTAGTGCTTGTGGGCACATATTCCTGTCAACGCAATGGTAGAAATAAAAGTCATGGGATATTCAAGCCAACACAAAAACGTCAAACAGGTATCAATGCCAAGACCTTGCTGCTAGAGTTTTTTTCGGATTAGCAGGGGTCTTAGCCAGGAAAATGCTCACAACTGTGGAGGGGAGACTGAAGAAAAAAAATTGTTAAAGAGGAAGATAACAGACAAATGGAAGCCTCGCAAAAATGTGAAGAATTCCAGATTTCTGCTTGTTAATATTCACCTAAAGTATAACAAATTCATTTTGAAATGCAACTAGAGTACCAAAAGTGGCAAGTGGAGAGAGAGACTGGATGAAGTAGAAGGAAACCACAGTTAATAAGCTTACTAAAAGATTTCTAGTGTACCCAGCTATATTTTAAAGCATCACAACAACTCTTTCAAAGTCTGAGTTACTTCTGTTTTGAAGTTGGGGTTGCAACCCTACCTTTGTATTTCGATGTACAAAGTCAATAGCCGGTTCCAGCAACCACTCAAACAGTGCGATGAACAAAGGCTCCTCTTTCTTCAACGTCTCTGGGAGGTTGTTGAGCCAAGATCGGAAGACTGGACGCCAGCCGAGGTTGGACGGCTCCAGGTAGATCATGCCACAGCGACTGACAGTCGCAGGCTGGGACACGGAAAGAAAAGAGAGAGCAAAATGAAAAACAGAGATTAATCAGCGACGCACGACCCCTGGCAATGCTTTATTAGAGTAAAACATAAAAGAGGGGGCAAGCCAGAACTCACCGAGGCCTGAGACAGGTCCATGCACTCAAAGATGAGACTCATGCTGTTGGACATCTGGATGATCTCACCGCTCATTAGACATAGCTTCTTGTTGTCATCCAACACGGTGTTCATGCTCTCGATCCACAAGGTGTCGATGGGACCATCAAAGATCACCCACTTGCGGTCGGGGGTCTCGGTGGAGGCAAACTCACGGAAGGTGTTGGCAACCACTCCGTCTGTCCACTAGAGGGTGAGACAGGTTGAAATCTTTTCTAATATTTAATAAATTAATTAGGAATGTGGACACTTAAACTGGGTTAATGTCCGCCCACATTCCAGCTTAATGATACAACACTCACTGAGAGGTGAGAGAGGAATTCCAAGAAACAAAAGAATGCATTTCACTTAAACCTTTTCTCAGATTTATTTTTTCTGGCCGTGAGGAACTGATATTAATTTCATTTTGTCCTTTCAAATGTTCACTCTGTGACCCTGTAGCACAGTTATATAAGACTGGTGAAAAACAACTTCTTACATAAAACGTATCCTGCCTGCAAAGATTTGAAATGCTCATGACGATTCAATAAATTAACAAAACCTGACAATTACTGCGCAAACAGAACATGAACCCTGTTTAAATGGCAAAGAATCTTGTTGGGTTTGGCTTTGTTGGGGCTACTGGTCACTTTATGGTACATCAAAGTCTCACATATCAGTCCCTTTCAACAAGCAACCTGATTATATTCAAGTCAGGTGACAAAGCACCAGTGTTGTATTTGTCCCTGTAAGTCCATCACAAGTCCATCACAAGTCCATCACAAGTCCATCACAAGTCATTCAGTCTTAAGCCAATTCACAAGCTACTCAAATGACCTGTGGCAAAAACATTCTTTTGTCATTGTTCACCCTCTTACTTATGACTGGTCTTTTGAAGGGACTTGTGACTGGACTTGTGAAGGGACTTGTGAAAGGACTTGTGGTGGACTCGAATATATTATCACTGCAAAGCACGTTACACTACCTCATGTGAGACCGGGTCAAACTGTCCAAAGAGCTGACCCATGGTGATAGCCTTAGGGTTGACAGTGCGGTATAAGGCCTTCTCCTCCTCGTTCAGGCCCCTCTCGTTCAGAAGGGTCAAGGTGTCTGCCAGGACGTGCAGGACCTCTGTCTTCCCAGCAAAGGGTTCCCCAACCAACATGAAACTGCACAACCACACATACAAAAAAGAGATCTATGAGGACTTGGGCAGGCTCAAATTTTCTCAAAGTCTGTCATAAATCTCAAGTTCTTATTAGATTGTAAAGATGAGCAAAGAAATTGACTGGAGCGGGACTTGAACCCGTGACCTCCGGAACACCACACCGGTGCTCTACCAACTGAGCTATCCAGCCCTATGTTGGTGGCTCTTCCCATTTGTCAACATTTCCGTTCAGGGAGTTCTTATTAGGAAAGATTTTTTTTCATGCATACAAAGAAAGCAACTGAACACATCTATCAAAGGTTTTCAATGCAATTATCACGTTACAGTTCAAAAGCTACATTCACTGGAAACTGGAGAATTCCTGAATTCCATCCAACTTCTGCTGATGTGAAACCCCACAACCCTACAGCTCCTAAACCTACCCGTGTCTGACGATCATCATCTCATACGTCTGGATGATCTTCTCCCGGAAGGCATCCACACACTGCAGGTTTCTCTTGGCGCATACCTCCTCCACGGCATTCAAGAACACCTGGTAGTCAGCCTTGGGCAGGACTACACCAGGGAAGAGATCGGAGATGATGCCCTCAAACAGAGGGATGTCGTGGGACAAGAACTTGGGTAGGTTGACGTCGATGATGGAACGCAGCAACTGTTAAAGACAAAATACAAATCCCAAACAGCTGCCATTATGACTGCTGGTTACTTCTCAAATATTTGACCTCATTCAGAAAGTTTCATATCAATGAACAAAAATTATCTATTCCAATTTCTGCTTCTTGTTAAGAATTTCATGCTTTCAGAAGCATACTGTAAAACTGCTTCTCTTTAAATATAATTAAGAGAATCTTGAGGTCTGCAATTAAATCTTCAGTAGACATTCAACTGCCAGTTAACCGCTGCACAGGCACACTCCTTGCCTTTGGCCTCTGTGACCAAGGTTTGAATGCCACCAAGGTTCAAATCCCACCCGGGACTTACATGTAGATTTGATCTTCATTCTCTTCCTGATTGCAAGGTTTGTCTCTAAAATTGTCTTTGCAGTTTTTTCCATCTCAAATTATATAGCTTTCACAACTCTGTGCCAATCCTCGATTTCATTACTAGCTTTGTCACAAACTCATATAGACTTATTTGAAAAGACAAAATCCTGAAATACTCACCAGGATATCCTCACTCTCATCGGGGAATTTGAGTTTCAAGTTACCAGCAGCAGCGAGCACTGCCTTGACGGCACGCATCCCGTAGTCGTAGTGGAACTGGGAGGACAGCTGCTCTGAGCAGAGACGGTACGTGGTGACGATCTTGACGGAGAGGTTTCGGGCGTCCACAAAGCCGTAGGAATACAGCATGATCTCGCCAATCATGGCATAGTCTGGCACCATCATGGCGACTGTGCGGAATAGCACCTGTGAGAGAATGGGAACAAGACACAGACTGGGTTGATTTATGAAATGGACAGATAACATATCATTGCATAGAAACCACTGTTCAAAGATGCATCAAGTGATCCTGAGCTAGTGATGTAATTGAGTGCAGCACAAGTCTAGTAGCAAGTCCAGTCATTAAAACTGAATCAAAGTCAACGTACATGTTCACATTACAAGATGAATAAAGAACAGAGAAATTGCCTAGTTACGGATTATTCAAATAAAATGCAACTTGACCTGAGACCATATGACGAGTAATGAATGCGTCAAGACTGTTTGAGTCATCACTTGTGACTTGATTGCAACTGTGGCTTCAAGCCACATCTACCAAGGTGAAAAGTACAAAATGATAACAGTGATGAGAATTTTAAAAAGTCTCTAAACCTTGAGGTTGTCAGGAAGCTCTGAGCGCCCAGCATAGCCAGGGTTCATGGTGATAGCCACAAAGCAGGTGTCCCTCAGCACCAGCTCTGTCCCCTCAAAGATGAAGGTCTCCTGATGGGTCATGACGGCCCGCTGGATGCAGAGGATCTGCTGGGCCACCACCGACAGCACCTCCAGCTCAATGCGGTTGAACTCGTCAAAGCAGGCCCAGGCCCCCGAGGAGGCTAGCCCCTTAAAGAACTTGCCCATGGCCAGGTAGTCCAGGCCGTCTGAGCAGTTGAAGACCACGCACTGGACGGCCAGTGCCTTGGCCAGGTCCTTGGTGGTCTCCGTCTTGCCCGTGCCGGCGGGGCCCTCGGGGGCACCACCCAGGTTGAGATGGTAGGCGCCCACCAGGGTGCGATAGCAGCGATCAGTCAAGGGCGTGATGACCAATCTATGGGTGCCATCAACACATGAACAAAGGTATGCTTACAATGGATGGTCAGTGACAACACCCTGTGAACGCCTCTTCCCAAGTCATGGTTTCTGACATACTCTTGCAGTCTCACAAGAGGAACATAGCACAGCACTTGTCACAGAATGAACAGTTGGTTCTCTACACATGCTTAGAACCACAAATTTAAAACTTCCAACCTCAGACCTTCCTCTAAGATGTTCTCCATCATATGAAATTGGGAATCTTAATTCTTTCAAGGTGTAAAGAAGTGGTTTTGGAGAATTCAAAGCAAACTGATTGAAACACTAAGTTGATCACCAATCAATTCTTCTCAGAACACCTTTATGGCTCCTAATCTCTTAATTTTAACCTTAAGTTAAATCTCCACCAGCTTCAAACCTTTAATCTTCATACTATTCATATATAAGAGTCACTGTAAGGCATTCTCTTTTTCCTCAACTAAATATTGCATAAATAAGTTTGTTCTTGTAAGGTGCATGTTGGACTCACCTGAAAGAATTGCCCAGGTATTCATATGCATACTTGACCAAGGAGTTGGTGATACGCACCATGACAGTGTTATTTTCCCAGTAATATCGTAATTGGGCAAGCCAGTTGAAATCATTCTCATTCTCCACACCTGAAATCAACAAGATAATGATAAAAACCACTTGAAATACTCTACAAAAATCTATATTTAGATCATATACATGTAGATCACGTGGATATGTCTTGATGTCAGTCATACTGCCCAACAGGGTTAGTGTACCAAATTGATGATTGATGTTTTGATAGGAATGATGTGATTTTTAACAACATTTTTACACCTTACAAGTGTAACTACTATACCTGAGAGTCTCTAAGAAAACTGCACAAGCTTCCTTAAATGTAGGTTGACCCCAAACTCATATCCCTTGGCTTCATCTTTGCCAGAACGATGTCTTACCATCGACGGGGCAAACTTGTTGATTAAAATCTATTTACAGAAGTGGACCTTGCGGCACTGCTTTATAGGCTATATTTAATACAACCCATACCACTGGCATAGTAAGTATTTTCCCCCATACCCTTTTCTGCCATATCCAAGACCACGTCCCGGGCGTGCACATCGATGGTAACCAGTGCCCCCATGGTGATGCGCGTCTGCTTGGACAGCTTGCCGCGCACCAGGGCCACAATGTCCTGTAGCTGGCTCTCCAGCTTGTCGTGGTAGTCCCGCAGGCCCTGGGGCCCACCACGGATGGCCTCGTGGACCTCGGCTGTCCAGTAGATCTGGGAGACGCACAGCACTACCTGGCCCGGCCACTCCTGCACCCAGTCCTCCCGGGCTTCGATGGCGTAGGCCTTCAATGGGTGGGAAACAGCAATGGCAGATGCTTAGAAAAATTACGAAAGTATTAGTCTCTGGGTAGTGGCTATTGCCACTTCTCATGGAGTCATGTGAAATATTAAGCCCCCCCAGCAAGTAATTTAGACACAGCCTCGTCATGAAGCTGTTGAGCTAAGAAAATGTTTAATCCCAAAATGTTTGCTCAGTAAAAACAGATTACCGGCCAACACTTCATGTCATCCATATTGTGTCCAGCTGGTTCCCTTCTGACAACTGCTTAGTAAGTAAATTTGGCTTAGCAGATTTTCTGCTGGAAAACTCCACATGGGTAAGCCCAGAATGAAATGAAATTTCTGGCCTACCTGCACACTCCACCCTCCTCAAATTGTCTTTTTATACATTCATTCACTCCAAATTTCTGTGAGTCACTGAAATGGCGATTAATCTTGCTAGGCAGGAGTTTAAGGAACATATTGTTATCTCCCCTTCCTCAAGAGTAATACTTTGCCCCCTTTTTCTTCTGAGGAAAGCCAAAATACCTGATGTGATTTCTCAATGACGTCCTTGACGCTGACCAACATGACATCCTGGACCTGTAGCAGCCACTTCTCCACGGCGCCTCGGGCCTCAGTGGTGGAGATGACCGAGGTCATCTTGACCTTCTCCCCCTCGCTGCTGAACATGGCCACGATGTCCAGGTTAGGCAGGAACTCCAGCTTGGCGATGCCCTCAAAGCATTTCTTGAGGTGAGGCTGGACCCGCAGGGGGTCCTTGGTCTCTGACAGGATCTCCAGCATCTCATCGTTGGACAAGAAGAAGAACCTGTGGGGAAGGCAAACGTATGGAAGAGGAATCAATAAGACGTCTCCACCAAGCTTAAATGCCTGCTTTGTGTCTGAATCACGAAAGAAAAATAATTTGCAAATACCTCACACAGTTGACACATGCCTGATGTACAGTTGTCGCGGGACTACAAACCGGTTGAAACAGAGATGTTGTGGGAACCAAAAAAAATTAGAGACAAACTTGTGTCCCCACAACTCGGTCCCAAGTTTTTCTTCACAAAAGAAATTGTCTCCTCATTGTAATGAAGGCCTATCCACCCACTCCTACTGGTTGGGTGCCTAGCTGTCACATGGGTGGTTTTTAACTTTTGATAAAATTACACGTGACAACCAATTTCCGACTCTTTATTTGGTTAATACAAAATTTTGATTCCTACTGGTAGTTTTAAGACTCTGACCTTAGTGCCCAAAACTCACAATTGTCAAGTGGACATGTGGAACGCTACCAATGAGTCGGTATTTCACAGAACCCAAATTGAACTCTACACTGTCTAAGTTAGGCTGCATCCAAATCCCTTATGTTGAGCTACATGTACGTCTAGGTCTTTGCTCCATTGGAAATGCGCGGAGACACATAGACAACAGACCTAACCATGCTACACGTGTATGTTCTACACTGGCTTATGTTCTGTGCTACATTGCAAGGTATGCACCACATCAACGGATTTCCTAACCAAGGAGACTTCACACATTTCCAGAGGTTTACGGCAGATAGAGTTTCTGTTGAATGAAAGCATGATGGAATTTGGCCGACAGATGTTAGGGAAATAACTTGATCACATTACTAAAGGTAGCCGCGCCTCTTTGCAAGATCTACAGATAGCCGCGCCTCTTTGCAAGATCTACAGATAGCCATGCCTCTGTGCAAGATCTACAGGTAGCCATGCCTCTGTGCAAGATCTACAGATAGCCACGCCTCTGTGCAAGATCTACAGGTAGCCACGCCTCTTTGCAAGATCTACAGGTAGCCATGCCTCTGTGCAAGATCTACAGATAGCCATGCCTCTGTGCAAGATCTACAGATAGCCATGCCTCTGTGCAAGATCTACAGGTAGCCACGCCTCTTTGTAAGATCTACAGGTAGCCATGCCTCTTTGCAAGATCTACAGGTAGCCACGCCTCTGTGCAATATCTACAGGTAGCCACGCCTCTTTGTAAGATCTACAGGTAGCCATGCCTCTTTGTAAGATCTACAGGTAGCCACACCTCTTTGCAAGATCTACAGGTAGCCATGCCTCTTTGCAAGATCTACAGATTAGCCGCGCCTCTTTGCAAGATCTACTGCTGTTTCTATATACATGTATGCGATGATATACCATCATAAAAAATTGTCTTTTCCAAAAGCATAATGGACAATTAGTGGAATTTAAGTGCCCTCCATCTATCCTCACTCCATGGTTACAAAAGCCTCCTCTCTGGTAATGGAGAATACATCCCATGATTGTATTTCAACATCACATCGCATCTACAGCTATAGAAAATTAACTGCACAGATAAAAGTATAAAGTGAAGTGGAGCGTACTAACTAAACTCGTCCTTGGGAAAAAGTTGCTGGTAGTTTGTTTCTGGTTGGTTGCGTAGCTTTAGCATATGATGACATTAGGTTCTTCTACAAAACCATCTCATACATGTAGTCTACTTTGTGGAAATAGCTCTATTTTTTTCTTCTTAAAGTAACAAATCTACACAGCCTAATTATTTGTATTGAACGATCAGATGAGAACTGCGAGCTGAAGTGGAAACAAAACACCAAGGAAGAGATCTGTAACACCAACCACTGCTCAGAGGTGGCATCATCAAAATGAACACAATAAATTGCCTTGCGGTATTCAGATACAAAGCTGTAATTTGGAAGGTAACCAGATCTGCCAAGTCTTAACGAGTGTTGAAAAGGGCATCACTGACAACAAGTTGGCGGCATTAGAAAGCCTTCAATGGCATCAAACGAGGCAATAAAGTGGCTTTTGACGTGCACTGAGAGTATCTGTGGACCTTGGACTTCCTGGACTAATGAAGATTGAGCGGTCTGTCTCATAAAAAACCCTGCACATCCAAATCATCAATGCGTGATCTCACAGGCTCTGTGGAGACCAGTCTGCACTATACACGCCAATAGAGGCATAAACCAACGTAAGATGCACTGAACACTAATTTGCTGTACAGTTTTCCAACGACGGACTCTTTTAAAAGAATTTTGCCGGAGAAGACATTTTCACAATGGAAAACTGTGGCCTAGTGATCAATAACCACTGAATTTCAAGTTAAACACCGTACGTGTATTCCTTTCTGGGAAATTTCCGAAGGACTCTTTCCATCTGAAATTTCTTTGTGCCAGTCTTTTATCCCTAATTTCGATCAACTGCCTATCAGCCTCCAGAGGAGGTTTTCATGATAATCCACACAATTATTCATAAAGGAAGTTGAACAAAAAGGCATCTCACAAAATCTATATGAGATACCTATAACTTTTTAATTGTATCCTTTTTGAATAATGTACTGTATAAGATCAAGGTCTAAGTGTACACTGGTCTGCTCTGGAGGATATTACAGGCTGGGAAGGAAATTAAAAAAAACGTGCTACGCCAATCAAAGCAAGGTCACAAAATCAGAAATCCAGCCTGAGCTATGTCACAGGTACAATGTAGCTAGTCAAGGCCAGGCCCTTCAGGCTAAGAGGGACCACTGAGAAGGCATTCTGTGAGATCCACAGGTACATGTAATTGCTTTTCAGCATCTCATCAAGCACTAGAAAAACAGGCTACACGTAACTGACATCATGTGCTCGGTCCTGTGACGTCTCACAATCTACGTGTAGTCAGGTTTGGTTTCTGCGGTGGTTTGGTGGTGTCGAGGTTGACAGGCAACAGCAACAACGTGGTCAGCAAATATAATGACGGATACTGAAAAGCGGAGTGGATTTCAGGAAGTTACAAAGTAGTGGTTGATGACAGCATTCCTTTGCTTTCTATAACAGTTCTCAACTTATGTCAACCAACTATGAATGGAACAGGACTTAATGAACTACTGGATAAGACCACGGAAGCATCGATGCCTCAAGAGACCCTCAGTGTTTTTGCCAATGTAGTTCTGGTGCTGAACATCGCCCTGACTGCCGTGCTGAATCCATTGTGTATTCTTGCCCTACGCCGGACAAGCAATTTGCAAGAAACAACCAAGATGTTCATGGCTTCACTCACCGCATCCGACCTCTGCATTGGGCTTTTCTGTGGCATTCCACTCTGGACCACAAACGTCTCGGGCAAATGGATCCTGGGAGATTTCCTGTGTACTCTGTTGGGAATTCTGTACCCGACATTCAACACTCTGAACGTCCTCTCTCTCCTCTTCTTAACAATCGATCGTTTCATTGCTATTGTCCGTCCGCTGCGTTATCCGACATTAGTGACACCTCGAACATCCAGGCTCACAATTGCATTCACGACGGCATCAACTGTGATCATTTATGTCATTATACTTGGCATTTTTAGGAGAGCGAGTCTCCATGGAAGCCAGTGCGTGCCTTCTTGTGACTTTTGTTTGTATATTTACA